TGGTGTGAGAGATTGCCGCCTTCTCCTAACTGGACAAGGGGGTGCTTCCTGGTTGTCGATTGAAATTGACCTTGTCACAGGAAGAGCATCACAACAGGATTTCCATGATCCCATCTAACCAGCCTTGTCCCTAATTGTATGACCGGAAATTCCGAGATACCTCTGTCCACAGTTGTGCAAGAAGATAGAGCCATAGAGCAATGGAGTGCTTCCATGTGACCGTAACTTGTTTAGGTGCTGGTGTGTGGTCAGTGTGCATCACCTTGAATCATTTTAGAGTTGTTGCTGTTGTTTAACACATAATTTTGGAATAATACTGGTTGATACACTTTGCTCAAAATAGATGACTTTCAACTTGGTCCTGTTCTCCAAGTGGATCTTGCTTGATTTGCTAAGTTGTGGTAAAGTGAGTGCCACATGTAATTACAGACTCAAGCGTCTAATTTGGCCGTCGGTGCTGCTGTTTGAAACCATTCCCATTGTTTTCACCAGCATCCCACGGTTAGAGCTAGGGTGACAGAGGGCTTTCTGTCCCCCAACACAGCTAAACACAACACTCCTAACACCACTTGTGTTTCAAGAGCCCTTTTCTCTGTTGCCAGAGGTATTGTTGACCCTGTACGAAAGGACACAGTTTGTTTACAACAAATTGTATCCACCCGTTAGACACAGAATTGCTTGTCCATGAAATTTGAAAACCAGTCACAATGTGAAGAGGTCAGTGTACAAAGTATCTGTGAGTGTGGACACTATCCGTGGAGTCCCGGGAGCTGATTCCTGGGAGGGATGGGTGGGGTTATTTCTTTGGGAACCTAGAAGTCTTTTCACCTTCTCTCCTTTTCATGCTGGTGTGGAAATTGCCTCTGGGAAAATGAAGAACTGATACTGATCTTGGAGCATCTCCTCCTCCGAGTCCAGACCCCGTCTGGCCCGTTTTCCTGGCAGTGAAACGCCATTTATATAAATGACAGGTGGCCTGAACGTTGGCGTGGCGCACTCATGACAGGTTCACTGCACCTCGTCCTCCAGGTGATCAGAAAGCCCCGCAGGTAGAGCACATGGCCCCAAGACATTCAGCGTCAGTTACTTTGAAAACACCGAGTTATTTCCTGGCTAAATTTATAAAAATATGGGAAGGAAGATCTCCTAAAATTAAAGCTGGGAAGTCTTGAAATCCTTTTCTTATCGTGAGCAGAGCATTTCTTTAAAAATATATATATATATTTGTATATATAATTATTCATATATATATATGAATATATATATTCTGATCTATATATAATTCCTTGTATTCCACAGTATTGAAGGGTCCCAGAGCAGTTGGGAAAGATCGTTTAGTCGTCTGTAAGAAGGTAGGGAGCCCCCAGTGGCCTAGTGGACTTTGTCGTGGGTTCTGCATAGACAGGCTGGTGCATGCACAGTCAGTCGTTTGAAACCATCAGCCACGCCGAGTGAGGTTTTTTACTCCTGCAGGGTTTCACAGCCTCAGAAACCCATGAGGGCAGCTGTCAGATAACCAGCTAGTGGTGAATCAGCATCGACTCGATGGGTTGCGTTGGTCTGAGATGAGTGTGATTGGCGCGGGACCGGCCTGCATGTGTTTTGTTACGTAAAGCCCTTAGGTGTCAAAGCTGACTGAGGGCCCTCACAATAACAACCACCAAACCACCGCCACAGCCCTATTTGGTCTGTCACGTCAGGCCCACTGCTGGAGAGATCAGAGAGTTGTGGGTTCGTATGCAAGGTTCTGTCTGTCCAGCACCTTCTAACCTTGTGCATCTAATGGCAGTGGTGATGGCGCAGGGGAGATTGTAGAGATCAGGGCACCAACTGCCCACGGAGCCATTTTGTTCCCCGTGCTGAAGCCCTCCATTCAAAAGGGCAGAACTGTCGCAGCCCCCCTCCCAGAACCAGCCCGCCCCTCACTGTCTCCATCGGTGTGCTTCCTGTGCCCACTGCCTGCACGAGAGCTGCATCTCCTTGGTCTCCGTCTGTGTGATGATGCCGGATTTGAGCTCTTTAGAAAGGATGGCAAACCATCAGAAGATGGGCTGAGTCTGAATTTTCTTTGCCCAGCCCCCTTGCCTCTGGAGTCATGAAAACATTTGGGTGGCATTCCAGATGTGTGTTCTGTGTGAACCAGAAGCCAGAAAACAAAGCCACTATTGAGAGAATGCAGACAAGGAATGGGAGTGAGTGCTGACCTTCTGGGAATGCTATTTTTTTCACTCTGGGACGACTCCCAATAACCAAGTAGAATTTTCTGATACATTTGCCAAATAAAAGAGCTGAGGCCGAGAGCTCTCAGGAGACGTTGAGCTTTGTGTTTCTCTTAGAGACTCTGAACTAGAGATAGGCAGGCCCGCCTCGACGTGTCCTGCGAACCCACGGTGTGCACTTCCTCGGGAAACCCTCCCTTGGCATTTCTTGTCTCCCGTGAAGAGGTCAGCAGTCATCAGGCCCCCCAGATGTTGCGGTGCCCCCTCACACACATTAACCTTCTACTGCCTTCGCCCCCATTGCTCAAACGCCTACTTTTAAAAATCAAAGTAGCTGCAAAACTAAGCTTTTTGAAAGATTCTTTCTACGTTAGATACCTCCAAAATCCAGGCTCTAAGGCTGAAAGAAAGGTAGCATCTTGTTAGATTTTGGTTCGTGACTTTCCTTAGCCTTCAACCACCTCCTCCTTTCTGCCTACTGCCATTCCCCCGCATGCCAGTACCACGCCAAGAACTCCACAGTAGGTCATGAGAGTTGTCCTAATGGAGGACACTAAAAGAGCATGCCTTTCACAGCACCCAGGTACATGTCTTGGTCTTCTCCGAATGAACTGTGTTACCCAAACTGGGCAAACACTAGTCTTCTGAGACCCCCTGACCTCTGACCCAGCCAGAGTTCACACACACACACACACACAAAGTCCACTCTCCTGGCCTGGCATCTTAATGTGTGGCTTGCAAGAGCAAGGTGGGTGATGATGGGACAAGTTAAGGGACATTACTGTCCTGGCATCTCATTGCATTATCCCCCACCCCCAAAGAATAGCATCCTAGGCCCTCTTATTTGCTCCACTTGACCAGAGTAGGCATTCTCAGCAAATTCTCTCACCATTACGTGAAGGTCTTAACAAGGGTACCTGGGCTCATAGATAGCCTCATCCTTCCACCTCGCATTTAAGAAAGCATATACACCTGGCGGAGCCCTAGTGGTGTAGCGATTATGCGTTGGGCTGTTTGCCTGCAAGGTCAGCAGTTCAAAGCCACCAGCCGCTCCGAGGGAGAAAGATAACACTTCTTGCTCCCATAAAGAGCTACAGTCTCTGAATCCCACAGAGGCTGTTCCACACGATCCTGTAGGGTCGCCACAGGTCTGAGTCCACTGGATGACAGGGTGTGGCACACGGCAAGCCTGGGTTCCTTTTTGGTAAGCAGTTGCCAGACTGTCCGTTCCCATGAGCAGCGAGTAAGTTTTTGTTCTCCGCCTCCTTGCCAGCTTTGGGTGTTATCAGTGTTTGGGATTTTAGCCATTCAAAGAGGTGTGTAGCTCTGGTGGCACTGTGAGTTAGGGGTTGGATTACTAACTCCAGGATCAGTAGTTCAAACCCACCGACTGCTCCACCAGAGGAAGACGAGGCTCTCCCGGAAATCGCATATAAGGTCAATCTAAGTTGGCATCAGTTTGATGCCAGTGAGTTCAAGGTGGGTTTTTAATAAGTGTGTAGTGGTTTCAATGCGCAGGAGCTCAGGTGGCATCGTGGTTTCATGTTGGGCTGCTAACTGCAAGGAGAACGATGAGGCTCTCTCCTCCCATAAAGAGTTATGTTTTCAGAGACCCACCGGGCAGTGTATCCTGCCCTGATAGGGCAGTTCTGCGTTGGAATCGACTTGATGGCAGTGAATGTGATTTGGGTTTTTAAGAAGTGTGTATTGGTAGCTCACTGCAGTCTTAATTGGCAGTTCCCCAATGACTGATGGTGGGCATCTTTTTATGAGCTTACTTGCCATTGCTATGTGTTCTCTAGTGAGCTGTCTGTTCGGCTCTCTATATTCATTTTAATTGTTTTCTTAATGTCCAGGATTAAGAGTTCTTTGTGTATTTGCGGTACAGGTTCTATATGAGCTATGTATGGGTTTTGCAAATATCTTGTGCCACTGTATGGCTTGTCTTTTCATTTTGTTAACCATCCTCGGCACAGCAGGAATTTGCCAACTCTAGTGAAGTCCAAATTTGTTTCCCTCCTAGCACCCACTCTAAAAGTGAATACCCTGCGACTGGGTCTAGCTGGTGCCTTATACCAGTCAGCTGTGCTGACGGGCCTGCAGAAGAGTAGAGGGACAGCAGAGGTGTCTGTCCTGGTGACAGAGCTCTGGTTTCTGCCTGAAGAGAATCTATGCTTAGTACAAGATCTAGTGTAGGTAGCTGTGGAGCACACCCTGCCCATGACATTACTCAAATGTATTAATTCCAAGAAGATACAACTGCTATCGTGTGTGTGTATAAAAATGTGATATTACTATCCGCCTAGTTTATTGACGCTAAACAACAAAGTCTGGATACTCGTGCCTGACCCTGTGGAACAAGATGGGAAACGAAGCAGCATGCAGAGCCTGGCCCCGAGTCCTGGTTGTCCTAGACTCTGGAGAAGATACGGGGCAAATCAGAAGTACACTCGCTGTGTCGCTGCCACACTAGCAGACTGCTTAAGTCACCCTGCAACTTGAACTCGGCCAGCTTTCGGGAGCATCCACGTTCTCCTCTGGCCTTGTGATTTGGGCACCATCCCTCCCCACCCCCAGCCCTCTCGCGGCACTTTTCCAGCTCTCCCCCTCGGCAGTCCGTTTACAGGGAAGGTTCTTTTGTGGGCTCCCAGCTGGCTTCGTTTTCACTTTTCGCCACGGCGTTGCTGCCTGGGTGGCATTTCTGTAATATTATCCATGGTGCATTGCCCGGGGATTGTCCCTGTGAATTGTTGACTCGCTGTTTTTGGTTGGCACACGCAGGCTGTCTCCTGGTTCGGACATCTATGTGACGGTCTCGTCCATTGCTTTAGCAAGATCCCAGCAGTGCCGTAACTCCCCTAGCAACCTGTCTTCATCCAGCGAGACTGGCTCTGGTGGGGGCACTTACAGACAGAAGTCCATGCCCGAAGGGTAGGTATGCGCCTGCCCCACTCCATCTGCCCGCCCGCCGCCTTTCAGCTTGTCATTCAGACATGTAAAGGGGTTGCCAGGCCGCCGGCCTCGAAGAACGGGTAGAAGTGGTGCACGCTCCCGGACAGAACGTGATGCGCTCGCTCGCTCGTGGGCGAGTCAAGCAACCTCGTAGGAAAGTTTCACTCCCTGGACTGCAGTCGCAGCGCAGAGACACCGAAACACGCCGTCTTCATGACATGCCGTGTTGAGTTTCTTAGCCCAGACACTGTCACTTCTCAGTTGAGCCTCAAAGCAGACTCAGCCCATGCACCCCCGCAGTGGAGCCTGTGTGGCTGCTGAGTGGAGGAGCAGGGGGGTCATCGCATCCAGAGCTTAAAATTATTTTTCTCACACGTGAAAGTCTGTGGTTGCAACCTCTGGAGAGAGTCTAGTGGGTTGTTGTTCTCCCCCAATGCTACACCCCCAACCGAAAACCCTATGTATCCCAAAGAAACGACTCTGCCTCTGGGAACACTTAACCAGGTGACGTGCTAAAGGTCCGTGAGCATAGAGGTCACTGCACGGGGAAGCGTTGTGTGCAGCCGGGCAAGACTTAGCAAAGATTGCGGGACCCTCACTCGGCCGCCTCTGCCTAGATGAAGCGCAGGGTAAGCAGGCTTACCAGAGGCGTCCTGCTGAGGTCACCCTCCCGGGACCTGAACCAAGCACCCGAACCATTGAAACCCCAAGTGAGATGGTTATGAAAACCAGCATGTCTTAACTCTTCCCCAGACACGGCTCTAGCATGTGGATACAGGATTAGGCTGTCAATTTCCGGAGCTATCACAATGTCACAAAATATATGTATTCTGCCTAAAAAGACCCTCATTGGATTTTTTGGTTTGTCCCACCCCCTTATGTTGCATTTACAGCCATCAAATCGTAAGTAGGCATTCTCAGCAAATTCTCTCACCATTAC